ACATTGCTCTGTTTGTGCCGGGGCACCGGATCTTTGGGGTGAACCAGCCTTTGCCGTAATGTGTTTTGGGGTTTGAAAGCCACTGGGACATCATGTTTCAGACTGATGTTTCAGACTCTCAGACTGAAGAAGTCTCATGGAGGAGAGACGAAATGTTTCATTTAAGAACCCGTCCAGAAGACCTATACAATTTTTTTCTTTTTGATTAATGTATTGATTTTTCTTTTCCCCCTCATGTTATAAGCTTTAAGCAAATCTTTTTTGTAGCATGTGTTACGCAGTTTCATTWCTGGTGTTGCTGACAACAAATGCTGCTGTAATGTTGACAGTCAGTTGCCTCTATGGCAACCACTGACCATCTGATATTCTGCCAGTGTTCAACTAAAGGGCAAGTCTGTGAAAAACTGAATTCTGATATCGGTGCATTCAGTTGAAGTTCTTGAAAAGTGGTCTTCCCATATGTCAGCTGCCCTTTGGCTGTTTGTRAACAGTGTTATGTTGCATGAGTTTTTCTATGAGAATAAAAGACTCGGACTCCACCTCCAACTGTCTGTCWGCCCAAGACAAGATACAGTCAGCAAATATTAGAGGAGGATGACAAGTGCTTTAGACCTTTTYCTGCAGAGCTGCAGAGAAGGTAAAAAGGTTTTGGTCGACAAAGGAATACATCTTGAACTTTTTGCAGAGAGTACTTTTCTTTTTAATACGTGAAGCAATAACAGGCTTTGCACCTGAGACACTCTCGCTGACAACCTTGAGTGTTTTGTCTGTGGATCTTTTCAAAAGCTTTTTTTTCTTTTTTTGGATCGGGGCAGTCGACAGGGATGCTACTTTAACTTAGGTGTGACAGTTGGGACAAAGTCAACAAGAAAAGCTCAGCAATCATGGAGAATTCAATTCAAACTTATTAAATACGATATTCGTGAAAGCTGCAAGATTTTCATTGATGGGAAGGTAACTATGGCTGAAAAACAAAACCAATATCATCCTCCAATGGTGACAAAAACTCATTGGAAGAAACCCACCAGTGTAAGTAGTTTTATTTTTGAGAAAATATCGGAGTAAAAGACAAACTGTAGTACAAGTGAAATGCAGTTTAAAGTGCTATAATTGCAAAACTCAAAAAGATATCTATTTTTTAACTGATTAGCCAAAGAGAACAGTGTCTTAATGGGGTTTATTTAATAAGAGCAGTTAAAATGTAAATTTTTGCGGCTCATGCAATTTTAATTTAAGCTCAAAGATACCGCTCAGTACAGCTCATCCTATTCTGATCTCTGTTTGGAGTCAYGGTTATTTACTTACAGGGTTTGTGGCAGACTGTTGTTTGCACATGGTGGAGGACTTTACTCATTCTCACACAAAGCCAAGACATGATTGCTCTGTACACAAAGTGTTTGTGTCAGGCTCTGCAGGTTGAAGCTTTTCAGCCTCTCTTTTAACCACGCAGGCCTCAGACATCCACAGTTGTCGTTTGCTGCTTTTGAGGAACTTCTTTACTGATGCCGTGCTCAGGTTGTGCACGTGGTTATTTAAATATAATATTAGAAGAAGTTCAGTTATRAGGAGTTGTACATGTGGAATTAAAATGTGACAAACTTCACAAGAGAGACAGGATTGATCTGCAAAAAGGTAAAATGTTGATTGAAATTAATGTATTTCTTGACAGCTGATGTAACATCAGAGGGTTTGAGCGGTAAAAAAAGCAGTAGTTGCTCAAAACAGATTAACATCACTCAATACAGCTGGGTTTTTTTAATCTAAATTTGGTAAATTTATGAATTTCTGCAGACATTTTAAAAGGCATGTAATAAAACTGTCTGATCTTTTATAAAGAATGATTGAAATCTTATAAGCTCTCTCTGTAATTGTGTTAGCTCTGTGCAGTTCACTGCTTATAGACTTTTATGTTTGAGTCCAGTTCTACCACATGCCAGCACAGTTTACCAAAGTGGTTTGTTTGTAACTTCTGCAGCTGAACCTGTTTGGGATCAGATGGCGGCCCAACAATGCGTGTGTTTAAACTTACTGCTCAAGCTTTGTCCATTTACAACACCTGTAGCATAAGTGCCAAGACTGCAGTAAAAGAATGAAAACTGTTGAAAAGAAGATTAAGGCAATGCAGAATTCAGAACCAGTGTTATGATTCCTGAGTCCCAAACATGAAGCAAACACAATTTAGAGCCTGATCTACTAAGATCCCAAATAACACGTGTTAAATTGTGTGTGCAAAATTTTAAAAATGCATGTTATTAGTGGGTGTGTTGCAGGCGATCCAGTCATATTGCTGCACAAATGATAACKGATGCAAAAGTGGTGCGGACCACCCTGTTGAAATGAGGATTATGAGTGAGCTACTGGCTGTCACCATGGAGAGTTTGGGAAAGCAGAGTGGCTATAAAAGAAAAATGAAGATTGAAGCCATGGAGTTGACATGAAATGATCCAGATGCAAGAAAATACAGTGTTGCAAGGAGTTTTTCCATAGGATATATGGCTTCTGTTTGGGACAGTCGGCCCTTAGATCATCCAGCAGCTCAAAAATGTCATTGCTGAATAGACAAAATGTCTCTAAATTCATTATTTCTGACCAAATATGTCAACATGCGCACAGAACATTCTCTCTCACCTGTCATCGTATCCATACCTCCTTTTTACCTTTCTCCCATCTTGCAAATTTGCTAAATATAGACACAAAAACAGCAAATGCAGTCAGTTTCAGSTTTGAAAAAATCAYATTGCTGTGCTCAATCATTACATTTGCATATCCTCAATATTTTGCATGTTGTAATAATAATCACATATTCTGCACATTCATGAGCTACTATTTTGCTGATTTGACAGATGCAATCCTTGGTGCACTGCACATGATTAGTAKATCAGCTTTGTKMGCRCATATTTTACACATGCAAATCTTTAGCAGATCAGGCCCTAAATGTGTTTGTCACCAGATGATCCAAACAGTTTTCTGTAAACTTTTGCAACCAAAAAATGAACTCAGAACTGTCATCTCCTCTCTCCAGAACACAGATTTATTTGAAATGATTGAAAAGATGCAGGTAAGACGCTGCACAGATCTTTGCATTTTCTTTTCTCAACTCACTAAGCTGAACTCACTAACCCGCCTCTCTGTATTTTCCTAATTCTGCAGCATCTTTCCCCGACTCCAAAGCTTTCTTATCTTTTCTGTGTGAGAGAAAGGATACGGAGTCTCGCACATTCAGATGGAGTGTTATTGGAGTTTTGCTCTTTTTTTCTTAGCGTCTCTGTTAGCGTTCAGTTTGAAACACTGGCTGACAGCAGTCTAAGCGCATTATCTCACTTCAAAAGATATCTCCTGCTCTCTAAAGGCTTTGGAAGGATGTTTTATTTAATCACACAATCCCACACGTAAGAAGTTAAGAGTTTTATGATAGAGCTTATCAAATCGCACACTGCTTTTGTGTGTTTGCAGTTTAGCGATGGTGTACACATTAGTCATTGGCAGACAGGAAAGCTTTTGATGGCTTGAACATCAGACATAATCTGTGTTTTGGCATGGCTGAATATTTTAAGACAAGGTGTTTTTTTTTTTGTGTGTATTATAAAATGTGATGCAGACAGACTTTGTGCTGATGAGATGTATTGTTTTCCTTGAAGGCTGGCAGCTTCATGTGGGTCTGCATCTTTTCCTATTTGCTGACTTTCACACTGAAAAAACACTCCTCAGATGCAACGTAATGGATCTCAACCTAACATTAAACCTGCAGGGTTGAATTCCCTCACTTCTACTGTGGGTCTAAAATACACTGCAGCCACTCCCCACACTGCACTGCCCTCCGGTCTCATCTCTAAAACGTATTTCTTTTCTCTATTTTTCTCCTTTTTGTTTTCTTGCTGGCTGCGTTTTGTGTCTCCTGGGAGAACTGTGTTCTTATAATTAGTTCAAATGGTTTTTTTTTCTTGCTTTTTCTTCACTTTCATTTAAAAGATTTAACACTTTTCACTAAAAAAAGTTTCTGTCCGCATTTGTTTTTTGCTTTTTATTGTTGCTCAGTGGTACTCTCATTGAACCTTCTCCTCTGACAGGGCAGCAGGATGGATGAGCAAAGATGCAGTTTTCCTCCAACTCTCAAGGTATGACTCTGCCCATCAGTCATACAGTCAGCTCTACATAACGAGAAAACATGCAAGTGTTAGTTGGATTTTGTGGCACATTGATGATTGATTCCTCTGGCTTTACCAAACAGATTTCTGTTGTATAACCATTATGCAATTCATCTGAAACAGTGTCATTTGGGGTAGYAGTTTAATTTAGGATATGTAGTTACTTTTCATTCTATGACAAAGAAATGGTTTTTTTTTCAGACTGAAGAGGATTATATTCCATATCCAAGTGTCCATGAGGTAGGAAGACGTAATGCAACTTCTCATCTTTAGCACTTATTGATCTGAATTTGTTCACATGAGCACAGTTTTGTTTGTACCCTCTGAAACAGGTGCTGGGGAGGAAGAGCCCCTTTCCTCTCATCCTGCTGCCACAGTTTGGTGGTTACTGGATCGAGGGGACCAACCATGAGCTGAGCGAGGCCGAGCTGCCCCGGCCTCCATCCCCAGACACTCGCACTAAACTAGAATGTAACACAACAGCGATGCTCTTCAGGAAACACTTCCTGGGAAAGGTCAGCTGCACAACACGCTCTGATGTTGTGTTAAATATTTGTCTTAATATTGTTTTTAATAAATTAAACAAGAAAAAATACAACAATTGCTGAAATATGATCAATCTATAGTAGTCACAGGAATAAGCAGGACAAAATCCTTCGCTGTGATGGAGATTGAAACCTTTTTTGTGTGTTTTGACAGCAACATTTGTATGTCCTATAAGTGCCTAATAATAAATAAAACTAGAAACATTCTGAAGAAATCTTGAAGGTAGTTTTCACAAAGCTTGGCAGTAATCTGAGACTGATAATTGTAACAATCCAAACTGACAGAATTTGGACGTTTTGACAAATAAAACAAGGTAAATGTACATAAAACAAAAGTTAAAGCTGTTGTGAGTGGCTCATTAAAGKCATGATGTTAACCACACCCAGGTGTCTGTCACTCCCTGAAGGCACACTCAATAAGACTGCCAGACAGATCACAGACTACAAAGTTTAAAAATACCCTTCGCTTTTACTTTTGAAGAGATCTGAGCTCAAATACAGTGAAAGTCAAAGAGAGTTTATGATCTGTGTTCATTGCATTTATAGTGGGTATTTAAGAGAAAACTGAAAACAGTAGTGAGAGACACTGGGGTGGAAAAAGACAAAAATGTGTTTATTTTTATACGTATGTAATGCATAAAGTTTGTGAGAATAAGACGAGGTTGCAAAACCATGCATGGGAGAGCTTATTTATCTTAAAAATTAAAATTCACAACATTGTTGCACTATTTTGTGGATAATTTAATAAATAAATCATTAAAAAAACGTTGTGATTGTGTAAAAAATATTATTCAAATGTATTCAAATGTCACTTCGGTCATGTGAAACCCTTTCTGTGACTGGGGTCAACTTTGAATGATGTTTCTGTGAACTGTGCCTGAGCTGCAGAGCTCTAATCTTTACAGCATTTAAAGATTTTTTTTGTAATTCCATTTTCATCATATTTATGAATGTTTTMATCAGTATTGCTCATTTTTCTTCCTAACTAACTAAAAGTAATGGTTCACACCTAATAACTTCTACTTCTTGTTTGTTATAAGACAAATAAGAAGAGCGTTGTAAGCCCGCCTCAGTGTTTGACACCACACACAGACCCATTTCCTTCAGCCACCTGTTCTAAAGAAAATACTTTTGTTCCGTTTGTGGTAGAAAATCAGCACAAACCATATTGATTATTCATGTGTGCTTTGCATGAGTTGGTTTATGACAGAAACTAATGGTGCTGTGCTTGCACTGTGCCCCCAGGAGCACTTTAATTACTATTCAGTGGACAGTAACCTCGGACATCTGGTGTTCTCTATAAAATACGATGTGATCGGTGACCAGGAACATCTCCGGCTCATGCTCAGGTAACGCTCACTATGCATGCACGTAGAACAGTGTTTCAGTGTGGGTGATGTTCATTAGCTTAAAAGATTAAAGAATAAATTTACCACTACTACAGAAAATACACAGGTGYAGCTCTGGAAAATTGGATATCATGAAAAAGTTTATAAAAGTGAAACTCATATATTACATTGATTCATTACACAAAGAATGAAATGTTAAAACTTTTTTTTAATCATTTTGATGGTTATGGCTTAAAAATAATGAAAATCCCAAATTTAGTGTCTCAGAAAATTAGAACATTGCATAGCCAGCTTGTGGTACTTTTGGTTGTCTGGGCAGGTGCCATGTCCTTCTGGAAAATGAAATCAGCCTCGCAATAAATCTTGTCATCAGAAAGGAGAATTAAGTTCCCTGAAATTTCCTGAGTTGAATGTGGATTTGATAAAACCCAGTGGACAAACAGCAGTAGATGGCATTGCACCCCAAAACATCTGATTGTTGAAACGTTCCACTGGACTTGAACAACGTGGATTCTGTGCTCCTCCACTCTTCCTCCAGACCCCGGGAGCCCGATTTTCAAATGACTTGCTGATTGTTGAGGACAGTGGATCACCAAGCAACACTTCAGATCTTTTTCTCCTCAGCCCAGATAAGACGCTTCTGTTGTTTCTGGTTCAGGGAGTGGCTTGACTTTAGGAATGAGAAATTTGTAGTCCATGTCAAGGCCCGGCCTGGGTTCACACCTGGGTTCGTTGTGYTTGCATCAGCCCTTATGGTGCAGTTCCACCTCGATTTCTGGAACCCTGAGAGCTATGGCCCTATTCAGRCTGGGCTGCTCGGCCCAATTTAATGTCATTGTCTGCTGCTCTGATTTGCACACTGACCATGGAGGTTATATCAGTCAGATGAGATTAACTTCGCTTGAATCGATGAACAGACGAGTTCAACTACAAAACTGTAGCAATCTACCAAACAACAACAAGCTAACATTAGCTTACCGCCGTCTGTCGTCTTGCCCTATTGTCTTCAGCGAGGATGGTCCGGTATAGTCTAGTACTTTTCCTTTGAATTTGATTGTTGTGGCACAAATAAAATACGATTTGGGAGTTTTTATTGTTATGAACTCTGCCCACATCAAGGTGGCACTCTGCTATAAGCAAACACAGCCAGGGCCGGGAAGGAATAAGGACAGGCCGACTGGGTCTGGTTGAGTCCTTATGATGCAAAAAGACCATACGACTTGGCACCTGTCCACTAGTGATGTTCGATAACCACTGATTTTCTTTCTGATTCTGATACTGAGTAAAACTCAGGCTCAAATCAGCAATACTGATCTGATACTGATACTTTGTGCAAATACAACTAGTGTCTGGTAAATATAAAAAAATGCAGTGTATTTCAAAACACTGCTTTATAAAGATTACAAGACATCAGAGACATTTATTTATTCATTTTTACCTCGAAGTATATTAATGTACTGTTCTCATTCACAAAATAACCGAGCTAAAACATAAAAACCAGAGGACACCAATCATACAAAATATGTGAAAATGGTGTTTAAACAATAAAAAAGAAATAAAGTAATAAAACCATTTAATTATCAAGAACTGCTATAAAAATTAAAATGTGCACCTTAATTTACATTACCATATTAACATGAAAATACTTGAACRTGTAATATTTACCGACTGAATGAATGACTGAGTCGCTGTGCTTATGTATCAACTAGGTGGAAGAAAGACTTGTTTCCCCAACAAGTCTTCAATAGCAWAGTTACTTTCCACTGTGTTCCTGTTAATGATACACATTATCTGAAACAAMASARGTATCAAAGTATGGATATTTTGATTTTAGAATCGATTTTAGAGCATAAAATTCTGGTATCTGTGGTGTAAATATTTCAATATCATATTGCCCAGGTCAAAATTTTGGAGTACCAAAAGCTGGGTATGTCATATTCTTATTTTCTGAGACAATGAATTTAGAGCTGAATTTGGAGATGGAGTATTTCCACAAAGCTACAARAAATAAAGGCTTAAATATTTARCTCTAAATGCAATGAATGCATRTCATWTATGARTTTCACTTTCAGAACTGACTGACAAAAATATTCAAACTTTWTCATGATATTCTAATTTTTTTGAGCTGCACCTGCATGGATCTTTTTTTCCCTTAAATTATCAGTGTTAACTGAATGTACACATCCTTCCTGGGTGTTATTGCAGCAGTCATAAAGCTAGAGAGAGTGTCAACACAACTGTCATTTTCACAGCGGAGGAACAGATGGACGATTTAGACCAGCGAGTAGGTGGCAAGGCAGGGAGGGAAGGAAGGCAAAGAGAGGCAAGGGTGGGGATGTCTGATAATGGTACAAACCGGATCATGATGCAAATGTTCAAACACTGATTATTTTATGACTTTACCAGGACCAAGCTGAAAACCCATCAAGACGTGATCCCCATTTCCTGTCTGACAGAGTTTCCTAATGTGGTCCAAATGGCCAAAGTAAGAAAACATGTTTTTGTTTGCGCACTATCATCTATGAAAAAGTCTAACACAGAATCTAATTTAGATATTTTCTCTACTTTTCCTCCTAAGCTTGTCTGTGAAGAYGTCAACGTGGACCGCTTTTATCCCGTCCTTTATCCTAAAGTAAGTTCTAATTTGGGAAGTTTTCAGAATAGGACATGCTCTTTGAAATTTTCTTCAAAGCTAGTCTGTTTTGCTTTTTAGTTTTAATASCAAGGTTTTGGATCTGAGCAACAAAGTAACATGTACATAAGAGATTATTAAAGCATGTTTAACATTCATATGGAAAGCTTTTTTTTAATGTTTCGGGCCAGGGCTTTTCAACTTTAGTTGCAAATGGGTCATATAATAAAAAAAACTTTTTCATCAACTACAACTTTATCAAGGTCAGCAAGCATTCAGTTTCTCATAGCTTCAGCCTCAGGGAAAAAGTTGCTTTTGTTTAATGTCTAAGCCACTCACTGGGATGTTATCACAGACAAAAAGAAAAAAAGCGAGCAGTGCTGTACTTTACCTCCAAATCACTGTGATTCTTCTGAAAACAATTCAGAAAAAGAGGCATGATCTGAGTGGTATTGGTTTGGTTCTTTTTGACATTTTATTCTTCTAAGCAAAACTTTACTTACACTGGTTGCTGTTTGCAATATTAATGAAAAATCTTTGTTTGCTTTCAAACTGTCTAATTTCTGAATGACTTTTTGTTATTTTGGCTTTGAAAGAGACATCTTGACGCATAGTGAACTRTGTGTGCAGGTTTACCACTTCTCTTTGTTGTCAKAGTTTACMAAAAATYATCTGTTTAAMAGACGCTTTTATGATATGATGATRTGATATGATGCTCAAGGTACAGACGAAAAAGAAGTAAGTAAAAGTTTTAAGAACTGGGTTTCTACTCTGTAGTTGAAGACATTTTATTTCTCATCTGAAGACTTTTCTCAATTCAAAACTGGAGAGTTTGGAGTTCAGGCTTTAAACTGAGATGCTTCACAGCTAAATTTACATGCTGATTTAATCTCACTCCCAGTCCACTGGAGAGTTWTTAGAGTCATTTTCTWCCTGGTTCACAAAAGAGATGCTTTGGTCACATTTGTGATTTAGAGGGACTGAATATCAGGCTCAATACTCCATTATAGGCTGAAYACTGAGCCCTCCTGTTTAAAGTTGGTTTTGAAGTAAATGGCTTCCTTCACCCCTTCAAGCCGCCTGTCCTCTTTGTCCAAAATATGAGCATTTTGGTCTTCAAAAGMTGGTCCTTTATTCTTAAGGTGTAGGTACACAGATGAGCGCATGTGGTAATATCTGTTACAGAATGATGTCAGTTTTTAATGCAGTGCTTCCTGTGGGATCAAAAGTCACGGGCATTCAATGTTTTTGGCCTTTATGCTTACTTGCTAAGATTTCCCAYTTTTCCTGTTAAAAGTGAATTTTTGCTTTCCACTGTTGCCAATGTACTGCTCAGGATGGGAGACTGTGCTAAAGTAATTCAATGCAATCTGCTGACCTCCTTAGATAGTTCTTTTTGTGTACCCTGAGGCAACATTTGTTGTGACTTAGCGCTGTATAAATAAACTGAATTATAGTGAACTTGTCCAGATTCTCTGAACCTTTTGATGATATTATGAACTGTAGATGATTAAATCCCTAAATTCCTTTCAGTTGTACATTGAGAAATGTTRTTCTTAAACTGTTGGACTATTTGTTCACACAGTTGTTTACAAAGTGGCGAATCTCACTCCAGYCTTTCTTGTGAATGGCTGAGCCTTTCAGGGATGTTCCCTTTATACCCAATCATGACACTCACCTGTTTCCAATTAACCTGTTCTTCTGCTGAATGATCAAAACAGGTGTTTTTTTTGTGCATTCCTCAACTTTCCCAGTCTTATGTTGCCCCTGTCGCAGCAGTATTGGAACATGTTGCAGATGTCAAATTAAAAATGAGTGGAAAAACTTAATAAATAAATAATTAAATAAATAAATAAATAAATAAATAAATAAATAAATAAAGCTTACTCATTTGAACATTAAACATCTTGTCTCTGTATTCAGTTGAATACAGGTTGAAAAGAATTTGCAAATCATCGAATTCTGTTTTTMTTTCTGTTCAACGTCCCAACTTCACTGAAATTGGGGTGGTACGTAAAATTTCTTGTAATTGCAAAAGCTTTGAAAGCAGCTGTAGCATTTGCGGTGTGTCCCGGAGCAGTTTCTGCAGGAATTTCATAATATATTTTGTTGAAATCAACATGTTACAAGAACTGACTACTAAATGTTTAAAAGTTCTGTTTTCACGGACTGCTGTAAAATCTTTGAAGACTGGAATTGTTCTAGGACAGCGGTAATCTACTTTTATCTTGGCTGTGTTTGGTTAAACTTCTGTGTGTCCAGACTGAGAATTTTTACACAGAACATCACTTCAAATATAGTCAAAATATCCCTTTGAGTATAAAATAGATTTCTATCAAATTTGATACATTTCGATTGTTATAATGTATAACTGTAACTTGCTAAGAGATCTTAACTGTAGACATAGTTAAAAAAAACATCCCTGAAAACTGATAGCGACACAACTGAGTCATACCCTCATCTAAGCCTCGACTGATCAGCTGTCTGTCCTTGGCTGGATCACTAATGAAGCAAGTCAAATACAAAAACCTTAAAATGAATGTGTAATAATATCCTGGCWCTCCTTTTTTTGTTGTTCTAAAAGTCAAGAACACTGAGACAAGAAATGTGTAATTTGGCTTTCCAATATTTCTGCCCAGCTACATACTCTGATTTTTTCTCCTGTGTTAAGCAGCACTGACTGTGACCGCGTTGTATTTGCGGAATAAATTGTGCCTAATGATTGTGCCTGCAGTCCACAGAAAAGAACTGAAGTGATATGACAGAAAATTAGGCTCAATGGGCTAAAATCAGCCAGCCAGCAGACATGTCCAGAATAAAAAAATTGAATGTTGTATAATTAATTCAACACATTTTATCATATCTGCCGTTTTTACAGGCGTCAAGGCTTATTGTCACGTTTGATGAACATGTGATAAGCAACAATTTCAAATTCGGAGTTATCTACCAGAGGTTTGGGCAGGTGAGTTACGCAGCCTGCATGTTAGCTTGATTCATTTTGTTCTGCCATGCGTGGTGGACCTCCTGTATTTCCCCTCCAACAACAATGTGTATGCACATGCATTGTAATTTCTGATTTCCTCTAGGAAACTGATTATGCTCAGCCCTTCTTGTCTTAATTATGGCTTTCGTTCGAGCCCATTCATTGTGGCTGTCTTCAGCTCACCCTCTCATTTTCTGAGCCAATCAGCCCTTTTGTGTACTCTTTAGGCGAGCTGGGGGTGGGAGGCCAAAGGAACAACAGAATGCATTTCTGAGGGCACTTGCAGATAGAGATGCTCAGTCCTGATGCCTTGGAGCCGATACAGTCTTGTGAAATAACATACTGAAAAACCCGAGGGGCCACAATAGCACTGAATGTTTGTTCATTGCCTACTCTGGCTGAGCGTCGTAGAAAGATTTARTGGTGCAGAATGGTCAATATAAATATTGAACAATGTTGTTTCTTCTGTTTGTTATATTGAAGGTTTTTCTCGTCACGTTAGTTCTCCCTTTGCTAACCAAAGTTAATCAATTGTCCCAAATACTTCCTTATCCCTACAAGTGCTGCCATATTTGCTTTCTGTTGATGCCATGATTATCTTCATGGATGCAAATGCAGCAGTACTCACCTGACRTACTCGCTTCAGTTATTGAACCTTATCTGTTGCTTGAAAAACACACCTTGCATAAAATACTTGTGCCATTGAAGCCAGTCTCCGAGGCAGATGCTCTTTATTGTATGGAGGTTTTCAAATCTCACAAATATTGCTAAGCTCATTAATTAACTTGCAAGCCATTCTCAGCATTCTCTTATTTTACCTGCCTGTTATATGCTTGAGTATTTTAATTGGCTTTACTCGTTCCAGACTTCAGAAGAGGAGCTGTTTGGCAACAGCGAAGAGAGTCCTGCCTTTGTAGAATTCCTGGAGTTTCTGGGAGAGAAAATTGAACTCCATAACTTTAAAGGGTGAGAATCCGGCGATGGCTATCATCTCTTATATATTCAAAAATAAAAAAWAAWAAAAAACACGAGGCCAACTCCAATTTGTTTCTCATCCTGCGAGCTGTGTGAGGGGTGCTCATGCTCCCGCGGTGCTGGTAGAATATCTTGTTAGACATGGCTCTGTGTGCTCGCAGCTTCCGAGGAGGGCTGGACGTGACTCATGGGCAGACTGGCACAGAATCCATCTACTGCAACTACTGCAACAAGGAGGTCATGTTCCATGTGTCCACAAAGCTGCCTTACACAGAGGGGGACACCCAGCAGGTAGTGTAACACCATCCAGGTCGAACACACCTTTTATGATTCATAGCGAGCAGTCAGACAAGTTCCCTCTGGGTAACATAAAACCACGGTTTGCATGCAAATTTCTGTTGTGCTAACAAAAACAGCAACACGTGAAACAAAACAAGATTTTGTGAGCAAAACTTCATATCTTAGTCAAATTCTGCTCCATTTCTACCTCCTGTTTTTACACAATTACTAAAGACATRAACACACAAAGATGCAGTTAACCTCTGATAAATAAGAATATTTCTCTGGAACTGTCCAGTTTCCTGACAAGCAGCAGGGGCTGTGGTGTATGTGCAACGTTGGCCTAACATTGTGCGTTCTGGCAAGGCAAATAGCACCCCTCTGTGGTGTTTTATGCTTTCATACAAGGTGGGAGGGAGAAACATGAGCTAAAATTAATGTGATTCTTTTTGTCTTTATTCAAATTAAATATATTTGTTTGATAAATTAAAATTTTCTAACTATTTTTCATGTTTTTGTTAGTTATTTTTTTCTATCCAATTGTACAATGGCCAGATTGATCAGCTGGGTGTCCTAACCAGTAAATTATATTTTAACATAGGACTGTGCAATGTTTTAAAAAAACACATGAAATTTCAATATTAACGTTTTATTTTATACATTTTATACTTTGAAGATCTGATTTTTCATTTCCTAATTGTGCAAATTGTTTCTGGTTAGTTAAATAACTACTCAGCCAGTTATAATCCTGTAATTTGGAAAGTAATAAAGTGTGGTCGATGGCATCAAAGGCTTTTCTTAAATCGATAAACATCCCCACCGTGCATTGCTTCCTTTCTATTGCTGTTGTGAGTTCTTCATTTAATTGTAGTAATGCAAAGTATGTTGATTTATTTGATCTAAATCTATTTCGCCTTTCACTCAGCAAGTTATTTTCAACATAACCAGCTAATGTYTAAGCACTTTGGAAAAATGGAGGAGCACTGAGATCATTCAATCCCATCATTATCAACAGATGCTTTAGTTTTACTTTTTATCACTATAGATAGAATTTCGTTTTCACTTATATCTCCAAGAAAATCGACTGTAGAATTCTACTACCGCCCTGCACCTTTTCAKCTCTTTTACCACACCTCAACTCTCAGTTTAATACTGAGTTCACTAATGGGTTAACTTTAAATGTTTAATATAAAAATTGAAAATAACAATATGTGTGACATCACACGATGTGTTGCAAATGTCTCTATTATTACCACATAAAATTTTAGCTCAATATCTGCAAAACTGCTTGAGTGATAACCAGAAACACACTTTAAATTGCTTCTCTGAATCCCTTCTCTGTCTTTCTATCTGTTGTGTTGCAGTTGCAGAGGAAAAGGCACATAGGGAATGACATTGTGGCCATTGTTTTCCAAGATGAAAACACTCCCTTTGTTCCAGACATGATAGCATCAAACTTTCTCCACGCTTACATCGTGGTCCAAGTGGTCAACCCCTGCACTGAAAATGTCCTCTACAAAGTAAATGACTTCTTCGTTACACCCATTTTCATTTGTCTTGCTAAAAACTTGTTTCTCGCACAAACGATTGTTCTGAGCTTTAATCTTTTTATTCCAGGTGTCGGTGACAGCGAGGGATGATGTTCCTTTCTTTGGCCCAGCCCTCCCAAACCCTCCTGTTTTTAAGAAAGTAAAAGAAACAAACTGAAAACATTAACTTATCATTCAGTTTCCAGTGTAATGCTTCATCTCTGTGTCTTTTTTAGGGTCCTGAATTCCATGAATTCCTTTTTACCAAGCTAATCAATGCAGAGTATGCATGTTACAAAGCGGAGAAATTTGCTAAATTGGAGGTATGTTGTTGAGCATCATTTCTCTTGTTTTGCTTGTCAAGTCAAAGCCAATAAATAACATCTCTTTATTTCATTCCCTTTTTGCCTCTGTGTGTGTTAGGAGCGAACAAGATCGGCGTTACTTGAGACTCTTTATGAGGAGCTCCACGTGAACAGCCAGGCTATAATGGGAGTGGGAGGAGAGGAGGACAAGATTGAAAATGGGAGTGCAGGAGGAGGGGGCTTCTTTGAGTCCTTCAAGGTAACTGGAGCTTCAGGTGCGCAGGCTGGGAGCATCAGCCCCGCTGCGAGAAGTTTGAAAGTAACTCCTGTTAGGAACAATGACATCATTTCCACTGACGCATACTTCATTCTGGAGTTCAGGCAAAAAAGAGATAGCTCAGACAAATTACCCCTTCTAAGCACCTCATTTGTACTCTTTATGTTGTATTGATTTCAAACTTTTGGAGGCGCCACAGCATTTAGTTATTTTCAGACAGCCCCTTGTTTCCACCCTCAGCTAAACTAGGATGTCCCGCTGCTGCTTGTAGCCRGATGAAGCAGGGAGATTTGAGAGGAATATGGATTTTCTCTACAATTCCCTCCAAGAAAACAAGTATYTGTTCTTTCCAAAATGTCAAACTATTCAAACTTTTAATATCATGTTAACTGTTATTATAAAAGATCCGAGTCACTCGACAACGTCGCTGTGAGGCATTGATCTTTTCTTTTTATAATAGCTGCAGTTAGAGGTTTTTTTATGGCTTCTCTCTGACAGTTTTCCAAACATTCTTGTCTGTATGTGTGCTTGGTTGTAAAAGCTTTATCAGTGTCCTGCAGTTTGTAGTAAATGTAAAAGATGCTGCTTTTCTCCTGGTGAAACACTCTTACGCTTTGCTTCCCAGCTTGAGCTTTAATGCTCAAGCGTCCTAACAATAACTGTCTGCATGCTGCTGTGTCACCACTCGCACATCGATGGTTTCCTTTCACCATTACATGCTTCTCCAAGATGTGTGCTGGGATTTAAACTGCTTTGGGGGCATATTTAAACTCGAAGTGGTTTTGTTGCTCTCTCTCTTCTTCTGCTGTATCTCCAAACACAATGACTTCCTCTGAACCCAACTGCAGGCTCTAAAAGCTTAGTAGCGTTCTCTGTCGCCGCCTTTTCTGTCAGGATCAGAATCCGATCGGCACTTTCTGCCTGTAGTGTCGAGTCAGTGCTCAGAGACAGCCCCGAGGCTCTTCTTGGCCTGTGACGCCTCACAGCGATACAGAGTCGGTGCCATTTGAATGTATCTCCTCCTCCTCATCTCTTTCCGTAGCGGGTGATGCGCAGTAGGAGCCAGTCAATGGATGCCGTGAGTCTAACTTTCAAGAAGCCGCACACAATCTCCTCTACTGTGAGCAGCACCTTTAACCACAGCACCACAGAGAGCCCCAAATTCCCTGGTATAGTAAGTACAAGTCCCACTCTTCATCTTACGTAAGGCGAGCCCTCGCTGCCTCTCCCCCTCTGCAGCTCTACTAGASTTAATGCCCCGTCTTCCTCACCTGCCTGCTGCACTAACTTCTCACAGAAATATGCCACACTCTCACGAAAARGAAGCAAATTTCAGTCTGCTTTGGTCTCGAACTCGACCCTGATTGTAAACTTTCTACAAGAGAGAGTGGGTGGCTAATGAATGTAGGACTTGTGGTGGTGGGATAAATCTGTTTTTACGGATCAATGGTTTAAATCCTAATGCATCTGCATTGTTTGTGTGCTTTTGATGTGGGTTGTTTCATTGTATGTGAATGTGTAGTTATGTGATTACATGTGCATGTYAGTTTAGGTATGTAGATTGCTCTTTATAATCCCACAAATACAGTACATATAAAAAGTTGTGTGGTCACAAACAAGCTAAAGTTAATCTCCCCAAATGAAAACCTTGTAAATTGGCTTTTTTTTTTTGGATTATTTGTAAATTTGCTGAACTATTTAGAACTTTTTTATTTTATTTTTGTGCTCAAAACCCCAAAAAAGAATTGATTCATTTTTCATTATTTAACAGTTTTACGATCTTTTGTGGGATTATTGTGTCGGCTTAAAAACCTAAACGATGGATCATTATTTTCCAAATTGATTTGTCAATCAAAGATGATTCATGATTCCCAYTTAAATTGTTTACAAGGTCTTCACTTATATTGCTTTTCTTCTTACGTACATGGTAAATACACTAAATGGGGGAAAAAAGAGTTAAGCACCCAGAAGTTATATTTAAATCTGAAAGAAATTTGATCCACATGAGACCAACAATAGAAATGATTTGTAAGTAGTTGGAACATAAGGAGTAGCATGACAAAAGGCACAACGCTGTTATCAGGTAGTTGCTGGAGCATCTGACAGTCAGTCAAAGCAGTGAGTGAAGGTCAGCAGACAAGAGAGAGGGGATCTCTCAGTCACTAAGTAGGAGTTTCTTATTTTGTGGGAGGAGTTGACCCAAGATATGACTGGTCAGATTGATGACGGGGTTTGAAGGAGCTGGGGGCAGCTGGGAGTAGCTTGGTCRAGTCGTGCAGGAAGCACCTATATTTTWAAAAATGACTTTTAGTTATAACTTGAGAAAGGAAGGTGCAAGCTGCATGAAATTTGAATGCCTATAATATGGAGAGAYGTGTGACAATTTGRCTCRATYAAAACATCCCTAACCAGCATGTAAAAAAAAATCACTAAAAATCAACATTAATATGAATATTGGTCATAATTTGAGACATGAAGGTGCTTGCTACATGAAATTTGAAGTCAATAAATTATGTTTACATGTTCACAATTTTTTGAGTCATTGTTCTCTTTTAAACTGTACGTAGACATTCAATAAATCATATTATTTTACTATTACCATTGCTTCCTCTTTTAAGTTGCCCCACAAGACAAGTCAATCCGACCAATCACGATTAGTGAAAACTCCGCCCACACACCAGCTCCTCCAATCACGATTAGCGTCAACTATCTCACTCTCACTCTCTCACWCACACTTAGAGACAACTTAGAGTTACCATTTAACCTAACTGTCATGTTTTTGGTGTGTGGGAGGAAGCYKGAGGGCCCGGAGAGATTATACAAGTTGAAAGACAAATTTTAAATAATTCAACAATACAGTATGTATCATGCTGTGTATTTGATTTGATCCAGTCAGAGGGGTTGTAGGCCTATAAAAAAGGAGAGCCACTTTGTTCTAAAAAAAATTATGTCATTGTGTGACGTTTAAGATCTAACTCAGTAAGTACTCAGTATCGGTACTTGGTATCGGCGAGTACCCAAACTGAAGTACTTGTACTCCTTCTCAGTTCGAGAAAAACTGGTATTGGAAAATCCTAATTGAAATATTTACCTTTCAACATGTGCAGTTTTACATAATTGTCACAATTCTTGTCTGCGTGCTTAACTGTTTTCCTTGTAAGTGTATTTTAGTGCATTGTGGGAAATTGCTTATTTTATTGATTTAGAAATAAAAGAAAACAAACCAGAGGTGCATTAGACAGTAAAAATTATATTTTTATACCTACAGTAAAAAAATAGTTTTTAACAGCATGTTATCAAGTTTTGCTGTAAGCCTGCTTACTGCCCATGACACTCTCATGACACAAAGTCTTATAAAAGCTGTTTGTCCTTCTCTGCTGTGTTTTTAACCTCTTCTTCATCCTCTTCCTCACAGGTGTATGACTTACATAACTGGCTCATTATTTCTCTCTCCCATTCAGCTGCCTGTATTTGCACCCATGGAGCCAAACTGTCTCCATTTGTATCCTCCAAGCTAACATGTGCTTTTGTATTTGGTTTGACTGACACAACTTACTGCATGGAGTCTCATATATTCTTGTATAAATCTCACATTTTCTCTCTCCCCCTCCCCTCCTTCTCTTTTTTTACTCTTTTTCTCCCTTTCTCACCATCTGTCGTCACCATTCTCTCTCTGTGCTTCTCTGCCTGTCTCTCTCTCGTTTCCTCTCTTTCCCTGTTTGGCTCAGTCACTGCTTGTCCCAGGCAAAAGTCCCAGTAAATATGGACGCCGAGGCAGTGCCATAGGGATAGGAACAGTAGAAGAGGTTCATGTCAAATTCTAACTACTCTCTAACGTCTAACGTCTCATTTGCTGTTTTTTTGTTGCTTTGATTTGTTTGCATGGCTTCTCTGCATCATGGCCGGACATGTTTCTCTGTACATTTTAGCTCCCTAATATGTATCAGATACAGTAAACATTTTGTACTACAGAATAAATCAACCGATTGTTTCAGAAGTTCAAATCTTGATATTTTCACAGATTTACWCAAAAACCTTTCAGATCGTAAAGAGATTAGCGAGTCTGTGATGTCAGAGTAGGATTTATATGATAAAAGTGAATCTGATGGTTCAACACTTGACATTTTCAGGGTAGCATTAAACAGTCGTTCTCCTCTTATTGTGCTTTCTGCTTTGCTGCAACAGGCACTCACCTTCTTTAGTGTTTTATGACAACCCTGTATTCTAATTCTCATAAGTGTCTATTTGGTTTAACGTGATTAATATTAATGATTTAATGACCGCCGCTCATGTAGAAATTCTGAAAAGAAAAGCCTCCCCTTTGCTCTTTGATGTCGCGTTGAATTAAAGGCTTTTTTAAAGTTCTTAATTTAAGAGCTTTAAAAAGGGAGACGGAGTGAACAAAGCAGCTGCTGAGAAAGCAAATTTCATGGCAGGCTGTGGAGCTTTTAAAACCCGCCTTTTTATCTCCTGCTTCCGTGTGCTCCTCTCTGACAGGGGAGACTGTCACCTGTGCTTGTCATTAAGCTCCTAAATCCATATTTTCTTCAAATCTTTCTAAAAACTGGAAGGGAGCGGTGTTAGCAATCAGCTTGATAATTCAGGCTGATGTGTTCTTTAAAGGCCTTTTTATCATTTTCTTCTAAATCTAATCAAATTTGAATTTGTGGGTCAGAATAACCCAGAGTATTTTGACACTGACTATGTTTTTGCTCTTTTTGGCAGTCTTTGATAATTCCAGGAAAAAGCCCAACCAGGAAAAAGTCTGGTCCGTTCAGCTCCAGGCGAAGCAGTGCCATTGGTATTGAAAACATCCAAGAAGTCCAAGAGAGAAGGTGAGAGAGCACTCCTCTTTTTTTTCTTACACATGAAAAGACCCCTTCCCCTTTTTTTAGGACTGTGAAATTAATTGAGTTAACTCTGATTAATTTTAGTGCTGCGCATAGATTAAAAATTTTAATCACAATTAATCACGATTAAAATTTACAATCACTTCACTATGGCTGAATATGTAGGTGTGTATATTGCAATGCACTCAGTGCATGCCAGTTCATGTTTGTAAATGAGAAGTGGTTCTCAAACAGTTTACCTGGATAAATAAAGGTTAAATTAAAAAAATAATAAACTCATGTGTAACACATTATGTACAGTTTTTTTTCTTTTTGTCTTCTTTTGACTTATTTTATTTTATTTATTTATGTTTTGCTGACAACTGTGACCTTAATATCTATCTTTCATTCCTCATGTAGTACTCATTTGGAATGAAAATCCTTGAATTCTTGATTTAACCATTATTCTGCACAAAATTTAACTGACTCAAATCTGTTTGGAGCATTTTTTTAGGTCCTGTTTTAGGTCGTATTCAGGCCTGATAATTTGCTCCGCTTTAAACGAACCAGAGTTCGTTTCCAGAGTTGGTCC